AACCCCCCCCCCCCCCCCCCCAGTAACATAACCCCCTGAATTCTGCATCTCTTGTTCACACACACACTTTCACTTAAATCTCTCTTCTCTGAATATCTCCGGCGATTGTCAACAGTAGCGGCGGCGGTTTAGAAGATACCCATCAACACATTTATATTTTCAAAATAGTTTTGTTTTAAAATTATTAACAAATTTAAAAATATGGTACCTTAAATTTTAAGGTGCCCTGTGCGGTTGGCCACTTTGCACACCCTCCGGGCATCCCATGTCTAGTACCATTTGGATAACATCCATGTGATAACACCCTAGCATTATTCATGTTTTTCACCTTTACCCTTTGTTTGGATAATTTTTTAGGGCTGAAAGGGAATAAGGGTGGAAATTTTGGAAAAAATAAAATAAAAATATTGGAAGAAAACAATGAAGAAAAATAAATGAATACTACGTATTTTTCATCCTCCTTTATTTTCTTCCACCTTTTCAAACATATTATATCCACACACACGGCCATTTATTATTCACCCTTAATTTTCTTTCTATCTTTATTTTTCCCTCTCCTAATTAAAAACAAAGAATTAATTTTTCCCATCCTCATTTTCCTCTCCAAAACAAAGGATTAGGGTCCAATTAGGGATGAAAACGGGTAGGATAGTATTATACCCAAATCTGACCTGACTTTTAAAACTGAAATCCGAACCCCGACTTTAAATCAAAAACTCGACCCGATCTGAATCTGACATTTAAACCCAAAACCCGAACTTGAGATGCTTCGATTTCGGTTTCGGTAAATATTGGGATGAGTATATATACGTACCTAGTTTATACTTTAAAATGTACAAAATTTTTTATTTTAAAAAAGATCGCAAGTACATTCAAATAAAGAAAGATAAATAATTGAAAAATTAATAATTAAATGAAGAAATGCTTATAAAACTTAGTTTAATTTATACTTAACATTTCACCAACAAAAGAGAACAGATGATAACAAAATAGTATTTCAAATGCCTGTTAAAATTTTATATTCATCTACAAAAAATTCAAATTCAAATAAATGATTATTAATTATTTAAATAAATGTTATTTGTAATTCATTTACACTTGAACCATCTTTTCAAAATCAATTATTTTTAATGAAGAAATATAAAAACATTGTTATTTTTCTAACATATTTGTAAATATGTTTGGTTCGGGATTTTTCGGTACGGGAATTGAAGACGTTGTACGTGGGTGTTTTGTTCATCTTCTTTTTGGCTTCAGGTTAGTGAATCATCCGACCCCTCCATTTTTATTTCAATGAAAGCTTTAAAACTTACACCAAAAAATGGATGTATCATACTCTCCATCCTAAAATAGTAAAATTAGGTTTCATTTATGTTTATTGTTTTCAAGATCATTTTTTTTAACTTTGACTATCAAGATTTTATAAATATTGAACTATATATAATGTCGACTTACTGCATATTAATCGGAATCACAGATGGTTTTATATTTACACAGACGATAAACATACATATATGAATAACACATGCGATTATTGAGTGTGCACGTATAAAATTGTCTGTATTGTCATGATGGCGAGAGGGAATTCCATATTTATAATATGAGACTAACAACATAATTTGATTTTTGCACAGGCACTCTTTTGACGTCATAGGTTAAGGGACAAAAGTATCAGAAGCAATGCTTTTATGATCAGCATTGTTTCCCAGAAGACTGCATAAATGGTGATAAGATTGGTTCCGGAATTTGTATTCAAGTTTGAAGAAAAGCAATAAAAGTTGTCCCGAGAATATTCAACATTTTCCAATTTATGTTATGAAATGTTAACACTTTCCCTAGTATATCGAGTCCAATTACATTAGCAATTATTGTTTGTTCAATTTGACTTTTACAACTAGTCAAATTATTCAACTTTATCATCAATCATCACCTCAATACTATATTGTATAAAAAAATTGAAAATATTTTTCAAAATAAATCTAGTGAAAAAATTCTATTAATATGTTATCTAGTTTTTTATTTAATAATGATGATCAATGTACGTGAAGTCTGGACATTAATAGAAATCAAGAGTAGTAATCGATTTTTTTCTTTTAACGTGTACCGTAAAAAGGACTACTACTTCCATATACTTTCTCTGTCCCACAAAAAAGTTCCCATTTTGAATAGTATTTAGTCAAACATTTACATGCTTTGACTACAAATTGTGAGAAAAGTATATTGAATTATGAAATAAATTTTATATAATTGGATTCATCTTAGGATCTAGTTTTGATATCTCAAATTTTTTTAGCATTTCTTTATTTAGATTATATTTAATTTATGGTCAAAGTGTGCAACAGTTTGACCAATTTATGGTCAAAATGAGAACTTTTTTGTGGGACGGGGGTAGTATGTAATACTTGAAGACCTATTTATGGACTTTTGAAACTTGAAAGACAATCGTGCAAAGCTTATAAAGTTGAAGGATCAATCGTGGATTAGAGCCTATAAAAATTAAAGAGCAAATTTTATTAAAAATGAGGATGAATATAACAACATTATTTTTGTCCTTTCTTTTTGAAGTTTCCAATAGTTTTACTACAAGCAAGCACAATAACCACCCATGCAAGCCGTGGCACTGCCTTTTATAAGACAGTCTTCAGGGGGACAATTCTGATCATAATCGCATTGCCTGGGTAACGCCATGCATTCGCAAAAACCATCCACGCAACCTAAGGCACCCGTGTAACCTAGTATATTTTTACACACTTGTTGGGGACACTTGTGATCATCATAATCGCATCGCATTCCCAAACCCCCTTCTCCTTTCATCCCCCCTGGTGACAATGCCCCTGCTGCTGCTGTACCTAAAATAATATTTATAAAAAATAAAAAAAGTTATAAAAAAAATAAAATAGAGAAGTAATTAACAACAACAACAACAACAACAA